TTAAAAAAAAAAAAAAAAAAAAAAAAAAAAAAAAAAAAAGGAGACCAGTTCTTATTCCTCCGTACTGTATTATCTCTGTGTGTGAGTAAAAGTCTGTATTTTAGACAAAGCAGAATCATTTGTTTTGTGTTAAATCTCCTGTGGTGTGCGGTGGTCCATCTTCTGCTCTAGAGAAACTCTTAGGCTTTCCATTTCTTTATATGTGGGAAGGCATTTTTGTGTTATGGCTCACTGGTATATTTAGGCTGATTAAAATAGATGGTTTGTGCTGAGTTCCTAGGTGTCTGAAATATATGGATAATTACTATTGAACTAGAAGACTTCTAATACTGATTTTTGTTTTTATTCCAGGAATGTACTCCGGAGAACCTGGAGCTGAAAAAGAAGATTTTCAGTCAGTTAGATCTTCTTGTTGGGGACAATGTTATCTTGAGCAGCTCGACCTCTTGTCTCTTACCCAGCAAATTGTTCACTGGCCTTAAACATGTTAAGCAGTGTATTGTGTCACATCCTGTAAGTATGACGGCATGTTTTGGTTTTGTAGTAGTAGTAGTACAGGTGTTTAACTAAACTGCATCCTGAACTCTTCCCTGCAGACTGAGAGAGATGGAAGGATAGTTGGTGTGCTTGTGCACCATCATTAGTGTGCAGGGGCCTGACTTATCAGAAGAGTTTTAGTTTGGTCATTCTGTGAGCAGCAGCATCTACTAAATTGAGAGGATGTATGCATGTTTCATACCATTGGCTCAAGACACGTTCTCTCTGAGCTGTTGTGCTCATATTGTTGTGTGTTACTCCAAACTACTGGCTCTCAAAATGTAGGAATTCTCTGTTTTGAAGACAAACCTATGAAATTCCCTACTTTCTTCTTGTGGCATCATTAGTCTTTTCTAGTATCCTTTGTCAGCTGCTGTTGGGTAACAGTAAGGATCCAAACAGTGAGCTGCATGTGCTTGTCAGGTAATGTCAATGAAAGATGGAAGCGATTGACTCTGGTTTCTTCCGACTTCTGATGCAGAAGCAGTGTACCTGAAGAGGAAAAGCAGGTGGGTGAAATGGAATAAATTGTTCTTGGAGCTGAATTTGCATGCTTTGTGACCAGCTGGGACAGGACAGTGATGCAGAAATGGCATGACTAGAGGTGGCAGCAGAACCTCAAAATCCTGAAGGGCACCTGTGAGCCTCTCTGTAGAGGTCTGTGGGGCTACCAGACAGCAGTTTATCACATCTCTCCTCAGCATGGAAAAGCATTTTGTCTTGATCACTGGGATTCTTACTGCTTCTGTTTTTCCACTACTCAATAGCTAATGAGTTTATTAGTCTAATGTTAGGCTGGTGTTTGACAGATCAGTTAAGAGGACTGTTGTTATGAAGGCTTGCAGTATACTGATCTGCTGTCTGCAACTTGATAACTATATGTTGTCTCTCCAGGGCATCCCTCAGGGTGTAAAGTAAATGTCAGTTCCCTGGGCATGCTCAAGAGTGGCAGTGTGAATGCAAAAATACAGCACTACTTTACTGTAATATCTCTACAGCTACCTGTAGCCTAATGCTACAGGGTCAAAGCATTTGGTCAGTCCCTTTTTGACACCCCTCCTCCACCACCATTATGCCTTGGAGTGACTGGGAAGCAAAAGGAACAAAAGGATAGGTTTCTTTCTGTACAATTAGTTTTCATCCCCTTTTAATTAAAAAAAAGTCAAACTTCAAAGTATGTATCTGTGCCTAGGTTTAGCCTTTCTCCAGTCTAAAATTCAGTAGTTCCTTATCTCATATTTCCAGGGTTGTAACTTTCTGTAGTGCAAGAGAAGAGATAATGTCTCTTCTAGACTTCTGTATTAAGTAACTATAGCTATGACTTTTTTTTTAACCAATTCCTGGGCTTCTGCCCATTCTCTGACTGTTTGTCAGTCTTTGATTTTGCATTACTCTTTCTTACTGTTTTCTCAAGTTGGTCTGTACCAGTTGACTTGTTTAGTCTAAGCTGCAGTCTTTATAGGAGCCACTTCTGAAACCAGGTTTTACCAGATCTGGAAAGGTAGCTTAGTCCCTGCATAAACATTTTCTAGGTTGCTGTTGTAAGGATATATGTATTTTCCAAAGCAAATATTCTGGAGTGCCTTAAAATGTCTAATTGTTCTGAAATGGCTTTGCAATCCAACTGAGACTATTTTCTTAGTAATCTCAGCTTCACTCAAAGAGGAGTGTGCTGGAGAAACTGAGCCAGTGTACTCTTCCAGGGGCTTTTCTGCATCTGTTATGTCAGGAAACATGCTTGCTTTGTAGTAGTTGTTGGCTTTTGGTGGTTTTTGTTTTAACCATGTCCTTACTAACATCTTCAACACGACAGTAGGACATGGGGAATGGTGGCTGCAGGAGGCAAGCAGCTCTGGAAGACACTGTGAAAACAAGTGTGGAATTTGATATACTAGAAAAATTAAAAGCTAAACTTGTAAAGCCCCTGGCACAGGTGAGCGTGTTGAGGAGAAATGAAATGCCCAAAGGGCAGAAGGAGCTCATCCTTTTGCTTAACATAGCAATAGGTTCAGTAATTAGAAAAAATAGATCCCATAGCACAGCTGTGTGATAGAAATGCATGCAGTACTTGTAGGTACAGCTGTTCTCTGCAAGCAGTTTCAGGCAGTGTTTCGGTAGAGGTCTTCTGCCGAGTGGTTAATTTCTCATGTACTGTATACGCCTGCTAGGTCACACAGCTAGAAATACAGAGCTAGAGGAGACCATGTGCCATTGAGTGAAGTTCCTTGCTGTACAGGAAACCATGTAATCAAATCATCTTAAAAATGTATTAAGCTCTATCTGTTAGATTATTTTTTTTAACTCCACTACTCCTGTTGGAAGTTGTTTGTGTCTTCTAATTTTTGTTCCAATGTTATTAACAGTCCATTAAAATTAATTTGATGTTTGTTGGCAGCTTTTGTGTAGCTTAATTCTTTCCCTGTGTTTACTTTGTCATATCCGTTCTTAGCTTTCATTTTGTTAGGCTGACTAAGGTAAGCTCTTCTGCTCCCTGAAGAAAGGCTTTGCATTCCCCTTCTCATTTTTAGAAATCTTCCTCCACCCCCAATTTCATCTATGTTTTACCACTTTTAGTTTTTACCAACACCTATTATCTCACTCCTAAAAAATTGTCTTCCTAAGTCTCCTCAGTGTGCTCATGAACACGCCCGTATACTCCCCGTGCCAAGTTCATGAAACAGAATATTTCAATGAGATGACTGTCAACACTAATCTTGGAAGAAATTTATAATAGCCTCAGTCTCTCTCAACAATTAACTTGTCCTCTTCCTGATTGGAACCTGTGATATATGTAAGGCTTAGAAAAGCCTTCAGAGAACTTCTTGGTGCTTGTAGTCATTTGGGTCTTGCTAAATTGTCTGGCACCACACCTGCAATGGTGTCCATCATGCCATTCTCAGCATTGGTGGTGGCACTGCCAAAGAGACCAACGTGAGAAAGGTTATGTTGGAACACAAAGCACTTTAAAGGGGATGAAGTAAGTGTGTTACATCAGTAGTTAGAGCAGGCGTAGCCTACAACAGGTTATGCGTTGGTCAGACCTTATAGTAAAAGGAACGATGTAACTGCTGAAAAAAAAAACATACAGAGAAGAGAGGAAAGGCTGCTTGCATTGCTGTGACTAAATCCTGTACTTGCACTTACATGAGCACAGTTAAGAGCAGTTGACTATAAGGGAGGATGGTGAAAGAATCAGTGCTTAATTACCATCCTTTAAATGTCAATGTTATTTCTGGTAGTAATTTGATATGTTAGCCCCTTCTATTGCCTGGAAACTAGACCGAGAGCTGAGTTTTAACACCTTAAGAATATGGCTGAAGGACTGCTGCTTTTGGAAAGAGCATGCAGGCAGTGTTACTGCGTGTAATGCTGTGACCTGAAGAACTTCTAGCTGTTTCTAGGATGTTCTTTAGAATTTTTTTGTTTATTACTTCAAAAGTACATTACATGAAGGTCCTGACTTCATGAGAAATTACATTTGGGAAGAGTCAGGGAGAGTAAATTTTTGTTTTTCTTTAAAGTAGGTACAGTGTTTGAAGGTAACCTGTTCTGCAACTTTTTCAAAGTATGTTTTATGTGGTATCTGTTACTGTGTTTAGCATATGTTTACAGGCTTGGGCCAGTAGCAGCTTATCTATTAAGTGTTGCATCTTACAGGTGGTGTTTAGCAATCATTTTGTTATAAAGTTCCTGAATATCTAAAAGGAAATGCCTTGCTTCATTTGGAAAGACAGGTGGTGGCCACATGTCTTACAACAACAAACAGCCTGAGAAGACATCGGTTACTCAAGTCAGTATAAAATCTTCTAGTACTGTTTGAGTGCTATCATCTTTAGTGTAGCTCCATGAACTTTGCTGGGATTAACCAGAGTTAGATTTAATGCAAGATTAATTATTTTTTTCATTTGAATTAATGCACCAGCTTTTATTGGATTGGTGAAGTTGTTCAGGGTCTGAAGATCAGGCTTACTGTGTTCACAGGAAAATATCCATGCTAGTAGCAAGCTAAAAAGGTGCTTTATATTAACTTCTTCTGTTAATCTGTTGATAATTGACATTCTTCTTTTGTGTTTCTTCTTGAGGTAAATCCACCTTACTTTGTGCCGTTGGTTGAAATTGTTCCTCATCCAGAAACAGATCCTTCTACTACAGAGAGAACGTATGCTCTGATGAAGAAGATTGGTCAATCTCCTGTCAAACTAAACAGAGAAATTGAGGGGTTTGTTCTGAATCGGCTCCAGTATGCAGTGATAAGCGAAGCCTGGAGACTTGTGGGTGTATGTATTTTTTTTTTTTTTTTTTTTCCCCCCCCCCCAGTTTCTACACACACATATACTGCTGGTTTTGTAGATGTGACAGGCAAGATTGTATATTTAAATGTCCTATAAATTTGTGTCATCTTTGTTAAACTGTCCCTTATGAACATGAAATATGTATCAACATGTAAATTAAAAACAGTAAGAAGTGATGTCAGTTGTAAGTAGCAAAGACTGAGAAAAACAAAGTGATATGATCATAACAACTATCCTTTATTGTGCTTTCTTTTCATAATACTGTCATTTTTCAGGATAATCAAAAGAACAATCTTAAAAGCACAGAAAACAAAATACTGATTTTTCTTTTTTCTAGGTTGTCTCATCATTTCCCGTTATTTTCTGAATGTTGCCAGCCTGCTGTACAGTGGTTATGAAAATAATATTTTAAATTATTTTCTCTTTGGCCTTTCAGGAATTGCACTCATATGTTCAACAGTTATTTGATACTTTTAGTTAAAGACAGATTTCTCCTCCTCCTGCCCATTCAGACTTCTAGCTGAGAATCACTTGTTTGTGTCCCTTCACTTTTTCCCACAGTTACCTGTTCTGTGCTGCAAAGTCTTATCTTTCATCAGAAAGAGCTGAATTATGAGTCTATTGCTATTCTGTTGAGAAGAGATTCAGTTGGCCTTGAGTAGGGCTTACTTTTTTGTCATGGAGAGTGTTTTGATTTTTCAAGCTGTTTAAAACAACCATGCACGCAAATATAGGTAAAGATCTTAAAACTAAGGTAATATTAACATATCGTAAACAAAGCAACTCTTTTTCCAAAGCGCAGTTGCTGAACTGATTTTGCTTACCTCTAGTTAGCTTCCATAGCAAGACAATACAACAATATAAAAGAGATGGTGAATAATAATAAATAAACCAATATTGTTAGGAAGGAACTGATCTTCTACTGGAGATGTTTCTTTAAACTAAAAAAAAAAAGGTTTCTGTTATTTAAAAAGTTAATACAAAGTCTTAAGTATATGATAAGAAAAACACCTTCAGAAAGCTGTAATCATGTTGAAAGACACAGGATAGAAAGGACAGTAATCTCTAAATTGTTTTTTAAACCCTAATAACCCCAGATGAAAAAAAGATTTTGAGAATAAAAATGTAAAAATGACTACTAAAAAATGTGAACAAGGAAGGTAAGTTCGTGGTGAAAAAGCTGACTGAACTGCAATTGTTCCTTGTTAAGGAGGTTCCTACAATGTAAACTTTCCTTGGAAGGAAGGGATCTGACGTAGAAGTAGAACAAGTCATGCTAAAACCAAGATTTTTGGAGCAGGAAAGAGTAAATGAGTAATGGCAGACTGTGAAGGAGAAATTGTACTTATCTGAGAATCCCAAAACTCAAATACGAAGTTGATGAAATACTGATTGAAGCACCTTTTTACACATCAACAGCATAATACTGCAGAAATGGAAGTTAGTACTTACATCTAAGCTCTTTTGAAAGAGTTCAAAGCATTGTTGGGAAGCTGTGGACCAGTAAGTCTGATAATGTGTAGGCATACTGATACAATACCCGTGGTCAGCACAGGCATCTGAGGAAGTAATGCCTCAGAAATCTAGTAGGATTCTCTCATGTCTGAGAGGCATAAACTGAATTGTGGAAGTCGCTGCCATAGAAACCTAGGATGCTAAAAATATGAATGGGTTCAGAGAACATTTAGACGCGTTCATGTTAGAGGAAGACCATGCAGAAGCAACCTCCAGCTGTTGAAGTCTCAAAGACGGGACTGCTGAGAGCTGAGGCAGTACATATCATTGAAAGTATCACTATGTATTTGCCCTTCGGTTAGGGGAAGAGTGTAAGAACATTTCATGGGCTACTATTGGAAAAGAGGTATTAATTTGAGGTGAACCTTTAGTATGAACCTGTATGGATGCTTTTTGTGGTGGTGGTATATGAATAGTAACAAAATAGTGCTTGAAGCACTGACAGATAATGAAAGTTGCTTTCCTTGTGCATCATCAAAGTTTCCGAGTTGTTCTGTTTTTGTATAATTTTACCACGTTTCAGACAAATACACATTTAAACTGTAATAACTTTGGCTGTATTTCCATTCCAAAAGCCTGGACAACTACCAGCCATCAAAGGTGTATAGTTTCAGCTGTGTGACTTCAGGCTACACACTGCCTTTGATGGGAGGAGAATCACTGCAGATAGCTGAGAGCTGCAGGCCTGGGGCAGTTTCTGTGTTTCTACTGTTGTGCTGCCAACTTAGTGATTTTTATTGCAAGTCATGTTCTTTTAGTGTTTCCACTTTCGAAGTGGGGAAAAATACTTCTTGCTTCTGATTGTTAAGTCACTTTTCAGTTCTTACTGTTGAAAACATCAGCCTCCCCGGCCCTCAGTCTTTGAGAGGCTCCTGAAAATCAAGTCTTACCCACATTGATTCCTTCTGGTAGCAAAAGTTTTCCTTACCCGAAGAAGCACTGGGTGTGGAAGATAAACTACAAATATTAGCAGGAGGGACATATTAATAAAGCATTCTTGTCCAAAATGACCACACTATTAATCCTTTTGTGGTTAGATATGTAAATTGTGTGTATTGGATGAGGCAATCCAAGCCAGCTTGGATGCAGAACACCGACACTCTTACGAAATTACTTATGAACACCGTGGTATTTTCATGCTAATAATTGTATATTGCTTTTGACTATTGTAAAAGAACAATGAGACAGAACCATAGAACATAATTGCAAGCTTACATGTTTTATTGGTGGTTGTAAAGGTCTGAACAAGTATCTTTGTATGCCTACGGTTACACATCATAAACTGATCAGTGCTCCTATTTCTGTTACAAGTTTTCTTTAATTTTAACATGGCGAGTGCTTGAGAAAAATCTGTGTTGTTGCTGGAGGACTGTTGTATTTGCACTGTAGCGTATCAGTTCTTTGCCACATAACAAGGACACCAGTATTCCAGATATAAATGTTATGTGTGAACCAGGAGAGAAACAGAGCAGTCTCCAGGTGTTTTAATGGCACTTGAAATGATCTCAAATCAGCCCCTTTATGTAAACAGCTATCTGGGTTTTTTTGAGGACTTTGCTGAGATGCAAACTCGAAAGTTCTCATCTATGTCCTCACCTCAAAAATATTTATAGTAATGGCAGGGGAGTGATCTTATACATGCACACGTGTGCACATATACTTTTATCAAAGTCCAAGTTCAGACACCTTTGCATGGACAGTCCTTTTTTTTTTTTTTTGATCAGTTGAGCTTATTTCATTCAAGAAACTAGTGGAAGCTTCTCTGGTAGAAGTATTAATGTACTCCTAAAAAAGGCATTGGTGGTAGGACAGACTTGCAGGTACAGCTGTAATAATAACATTTATCTGGAAAACTTTATCACAAATGGACTGAGCAGCTTGCAGGATATGTTTTAGTTCCCAAATGTAGATCAGCAACAGATGACCTGCCAGTCTCTCTCTTTTCTGTAGCAGTACTGTGTTGGGATGTGTGATGGGTGAGGCATAGGACAGGGATCATACAATAGGAGAGGGGCTCTGATACAGAGCATGAAGATGAACATGAACGTGGGGCTGTAAAGAAAGCAATGTGGTAAATATAGTTGCTTGCTATATGCATGGGGCTCACCAACTTCTGCCATGTGGGTCCAAGAGTAGGAGAGGCTATAACACAGCTAGAAATCTGGGGTAAGGCCCTGCCAGCAGGTTGGGTTCAGGCTCAGATTCCACATGGTGCTCAAATTACATGTGGGCATGGACGCTGTAGCAGAGAGAGAAGCATAATTCAGGGCAAAGTAATGAAAGTAGCAATGAGAAACCCAGGTATTGAGATACAATTTGTCTTTGCCAAAAGTGCTGGAGTCCCCAGGAGCATACACAGGGAGCCTGGGATTTTGAAGCTGGGCACAAAATGAGTGCTGTGAATTCAGGACTGAGCCAAATGTGGGAGTGGGAAGTATGGAGTTAAGGTGGTGAAAAATTAGGAGGCCTGAAGGTTGAGATCCCGATTTGTAGGAAAGTAGGAGAATGAAAGGTCATTTGGAGACGTACAGATGGGTGCTGAGAACTTCGGCCATGTGCATAATTAGGAACATGGATTTAAGGATGCAGAAGTTTGACTTTACAAGAATTTAGAAGCAAAGACCATAGGTTCATTTATGGGCTCAAAAGAAGGCATTCAAGCAAGTGCTCCCCTTTGAGGCAGGAGTGCTACAATGAGATGTTTTATTTTGGATCAGAGTTAGTCTTTTGTGTGACAAGATGTCTTTTTGAACATTGTTTTGACTTGCAAGTCATGAGCACTTGGGCAATGCAGGTGTTTGTGACAGGAACTTTTTGCATTGGTTATCTCTGTCTCCCCATGCTCCACATGTATTCCATAAAAATGCAGATACTGGGAACACACTAGTATGTCTCTTTAAGGTCATGTATCTGAGAACTTCCTGTGGAACCACATAGTATGTGTGAGATTGACGTTCTTGCAGGTTTCTTATTTATGTTTTTAATTCTTAGGTCTCTGGTAGAAATGTTGCAAAGCTGATTGTGATGAGAGTAAAAGATGTGCTGTGAGATGTTGAGGTTGAAGATCTTATTCCTCTCTTCTTAACCCTAAATTTTGATATTAAAAGTTTGGAACTATTAGAATAATCTGTAGCCAGTAATAAGAAAAATATCTCGGACAGCTTTCTCTGTTATTCCCTGTTACCAATTATTTACTTTCTCATGTCTCCATCGACAGTGGTCACTGGTATGTCTGATTTTGTTCATAACTCCTTGGAGCAGAGACTTATTGCCTTTATTTGCCTGGGAAGCATGCTGTGCACTGCTGACACTATGACTTTTGTGCTTTTACCAGTACCAATACATTCTATAGTAGCTTGAGATTATGTTGCAAAAGAGTTAGTTGAATAGCTTGACTTGGTTTTGTTCTGAAGGTAAAGTTTTGGTTGACTTCATCCGGAAGATAAAAATTAGTACCAGTGCTTTAGATCAGAAGCGTCAGACCTCACTGTGAACATCTAGGACTGTCCTTTTACTGTGGATTACTGAGCAGAAGCTTATGTTGGTGAAATACTTTTCTAAGCGTCACCTGGAATTTGCAAGGAGGTCATGAAACACAGCAGCAGAGATAGTGAGGAGAACATGGCAGTTTTTCAGCCCTGATCTAATTTAGGAGTTTCAGCTGCTTTTAAGGACCTGCTAAAACTATTTTGCCTGACGGATCATATAAGTGTCTTTAGAGTCTGTATTTTCCTCTGTATAAGCTTTTGATACTGTCTTAATGTATTTTTTTTTTAAAAGTGGGTTTTCTTTTAGGTTATAGTCATTGTAAAAGACAAGAAGAATGGACAGTCCTGCCATCTTTTGGAAAATAAACAGTCATGATTTGGCTGTGTGTCCGTTTTAGTTCATTTTCACAGCAATCAGCTGCATTGGCTTCAGTCCCTAATTTACATACCTCTCTCTTCTCTGGTGACTAGCTTGGCAGTCCTTAAATGCTGGCAAGACTTTCTTAATTCCAAATTCCTTGTTATTAATAATTGTATTATAATGGTATCCAGAGGACCTTTCCAAAAGATCAAAGGTAGACGGTTAAACATGTGGTTACAGTGCCCCATAAAAGGGGGATATCATAAATGGAAGTTTAAAAGGCCAGGGGAAAAAAAAAGTGTTGATACTAAGTGTTTCTTACAGGGTGAGGTGAGTAAGGGTGCCGTGGAAGAAGGACGATAAAGGCCAGCAAAGTAAGGAGCTGTGAAGTGTGTAGGACAAGAAGTTTCTCAAACATGATGAAATGGAAAGAGATGGAGCTGGTAGAGGGATCTAGGAGAAAAGTCATATGCTCAAAATGATAGGACTGGAAAAAGATCTCATCAGGGCGTGGATCGAAGTGATTTGATTAAAGTGATAGTGAAGAGAAGGGTGTAACAAGTGCTGCTGAGAGAGAATGCATATATTAGTGACAATCAGAAAAAAACCACTGGATTTTGGAGATACAGAGGATAAAGGGGCAAATTTGGAGACAGAAAGTATGTGGCCCAGGAGGGATTGAAGTCCAAAGTAACTCTATAGACAGACTGGAGTGAGTAGGAGAACATGATGATAAATTAGTAGTATCAGAAAAAGTAGGATTGTTTTTTTGGCCATGTCACATTTAATATGATTACAGACCAAGTCAGTGATAGAAGTTGCGATGTGGGTGTGACTCACAGATGTAAAGACTATTGATTAAAACCAAGCAGGTTGGGTCAGGGCCTAAAGGTGGAGACTGAAGAACCGCCACAGGTTTTTAGAGCGGAGAAAAGGGTCCCTGCATAGTGAGAAGCACTAATAAAATACCAAAGGAGCATTAGGATAATACTGTGGCATCACAGGAGATTAAAATCTCCAGAAAGATGAAATTGTGATATATAAATGGTGTCATGAGAAGTGTGGAGGATCCTGAGCTAGTCTAGATCTTGAAGTTTGACTGGCTGTTGGGGTCACTGAGGATTTTGGTGGAATTTATTTTAAATTAAGATCTTAATTCTGTAGCTGTGAAAGCTTCTGGTGAACTCTAACACACTTCCTCTTCCCTCTGACAAGAGCTCAAGGGGAAGGCTTACAAGAAGGATTACCCAGGATGAAGAGGATGAAAAATCCTCTGGGGAAGATTGTTTCACACCTAGACTTAATGAAACAGGGTTGGAACTCTTTCTTGTTTATTTCTTAGCATAAACACTGATCGTTGTGGAAGACACCTTTCTGACCTTGCACCTACCCTGCTGAATCATTCCACCAACTTATGATCTCCTTAACATAAGTGGGAGTAGGGTTATTCCCTAGGGGAAAACAGTCTTAACTGGTTTCTCATTTATGTGTTTTCTCATTTCTGAAGAGAATAAGTAAAAAGCTTTTCTTTAAGAGGGTCTGTGTGACAAGAAGAAACTGAGCTCACATGTACAGAATAATATATCCCTCAACTGGAGGGATCTGTCATATTTTCCTTCTGGTAGCAGCAATTTTTGCCTTTTAGCAGCTGTAACCATAAAATGACAGCTATAGTCAGAAGGCCAAGAGCAAAGCACTCATCTCATGATTCTGAGGGCACTTGGTCTTCAAATGTCAGTACCGAAGCTGAGGACTATGGTATTAAAAGAAATAAATCCGTTTTTAATTTGAAAATTAATTTGCAATGATTCTGAAGTGTTTCAAGAGCTTGTTAACTCTTTAACATTATGTTTACAGTTTTTAACTGCTGCTGTGGCTCAAATGCTTGTCTGGAACTTGTGGTTAATCTTTTGTCCACAAATCCATGTCAACCAGGAAAAAAAAAAGAAATCACTCATCAACCACAGCTTTACCAGCATAACTCATTGTTTGGATGAAGCACTCCCAACAGAAGAGTGCTTTTGTTGACTTTGCTGATGTTTCAGAGAAGTTGTGTTGCCACGTCAGGCGAAAAAACTTTCACAGAACGTATGGTGCCTGTGTTAGTTACCCCAGTGCTGGTTCTGTAATCCGAATGCTGCCTGAGGTTTGCGTTTAGTCCTGTCTTTATGCAGACCTTCCTGTCTGCATCTCGATGAGTTACTTTGCCATGCCTGTGCCTTACCTTTAAGTTGAAGAAAATAACGCTTTCTTATCCATGCCATTTTATGTCTAATTAAATTGTAACCAGAGCTGCGTGTTCCATATATGGTGGGTAGATCTTAATAATTACATTATCGTTTCCTTTTCAAGATAGAGTTCAAAAGCCACCTGCAACAGATTCAGCCAGGCTTAGTTTTGATAGGAGCAATGCCTACTAACAGATCAAAACTTGAGGCTGAGTCTTATAAAAGACTCTATTTAAGCCTGAGATAATGAAACTTGATGTCTGTGGCCAGCTGTAGAAGTTATGTTGGTCCTTGGCTTATCATTTGCTTTTAAAGTAACAGTAGATGATGTAGTTGAACACAGGGAAGACACTGTGGGTGGGATTCAGCTCACTGAAGATGGGATTTCTACAATGTAGACATTGACATCCAAGCTCCTTAGTCATCTTTCAGTCGGTGAGGAGAATTTAGGCCCTTTTAGGACACAACCCATCTTACCTATTCTCGATGCCTGCTTTAGGATGCTGATTTCTTTTTTCTTCCTAGTGATTATAAAGAGACTCTAGATGTCTAGCTCAGATGTCAATGTCTACAACAGGTCAGGAGAGCTGTCCTGCGCACCCGTAACACTAGCTGATCACTGTGATACGAAGGAGCATTCAGACAGGGCCCTGCGAGAGGGGAAGTTAACAGAAAAAGACCTGCCTGCGGCCAAGCAGAAGAATGTACATCCTTGTATTCTACGGCTCAAAGGGGCTTGTGGAGAAAGAGGCACTGAGTAGGGAGAGCACCTCAAGGTAGGGTGAGAAGACAAATTAGAAGCGGTT